ATGTTACGTACATTATTAACATTACAGAATCCACATATTCCTGCCAGTTTTAATATGTATTTTGTAATCAACAAGTGTGTAACACCGGTCAAAGTTTGACACTTCTCTGGCCATTATCTCCGTAACCGTTCAACTTTGGACATAGGTGTTTTGGGTTATATCGGCATACTTTAACATAAGGAACACCCTCCCGAAGTTTGGTCCATTCCTCCTGGGACACCCTGTATATATGCTCTTTGACATGTTAGGTTAGATCTGGTTAAGTTATGTTTGGTTATGGGCATGCACATCTCCTTTCACATATTCTTTTTGGTTAGGTTGCACTAAATGAGGTTGTTACAGCAGATTAAATTAGGGCAGGATATGTTCAGCTGCAGGAGTAAATATGCTTTTCTAAAATGTTTGTTAAAATATCGTTTGGCTAAGCTCGGTTAAGTGACATTAAATCTGATTTCCTTATTAGGTTGTAGATGTACACATATGCCCTTTCATGTCAGGTTAGATTAGGTTACATCAGGTAAAGTTCAGTTAAAGATGAGCATATGTCTTCTGACACTTCTTTATTCTGAATGAAGCACAGGAAGAAAAAGTCAGCATGGAAATGGTTATTGGCTTTCAGGGTTTGACCACATAATATGCTAAAGCTGTTGCAACTTAAATGTCTGTATTGCAGTTGCTATCTTCATGGTGAACCAGTTGGAAGGAGGAAGTGGTCCAACGTATATGTCCTGCAGTGAGAGTAAAGGCTGAGGTGTGGGTATGATTTCCAATTGGAAGGAGCCACATAAGCATGAAGGAAATGGAACAGCTCCAACATATAACCAAGCTAAACACTAAAAGTTCAAGTTACATAACCAATGCAGCCAGTAAAGCCTATGGGCAAGAATATCAAAACTACACTATGCTTCAATTAATGCATCTAGGAGCTGGCAGTATTTCCCCATGCTCTGAGCATATAAGTTTGAAATGTTTATGTTGCTCTTTGGAAATATGAGGCATTTCATGTTTTGGACTTGTGGCTTACGATACCACTGAGTCCAGTAGGTGGGTATGAATGTTTTGGAGAAACATACTGCCCCCATCTTCAAGTCTAAAATGTACCATTAAGCTGGAGGCAATATCATCCCCTAAAATATTATTACCCACCTACCAGACTACACAGCCTCATAATCCAGATGATTACAAGGTGAAAAGGAATGATGTGTTGATACCACAGACACAGACATACCAAATGTCCAAAAGTAGGTTCAAAAATAATAACAACAGGACATGTGTCATGGAAGAATGCCAAAAAATGTCCATAGTAAGACACATCAGATACACTGGATATTAAGATGTATTCTCTCTTACTATCTAGTTCATCTGATGTGTCTTACTCCTGATATTTTTTGGTTATTTTCCCATTATTAAGGTCACGGGTTCAATTCCTGGTAAAGTCACTGGATGTGTCAATTGACCTAATCCTTTCAGCCACACTATGGCCCTGGGGTTGAGTCAGCATGTAACAGAAATGAGTACCAGGAATCTTCCTGGGGGTAAATGGCAGCTGGCGTGTAAGGCTGACAACCTCAGCGCCATGAGCCAATTGTTTAAAAATGTGGTAGCCTTGACATCTCACAACCCTATGGGCCTCCACAGCCTGTTACAAGGACAGCTTTACATTTTATTTATATTATTAATATTCAGATATATTGTAGGATATGATGCAGTGTTGACTGGTAGATATGTACCACCATTCTGGAGAAATATACTATTCATTCTTTTGAATGGAAGATGTGACTACAGCAAGGCTCCTCTGAAACACTGGTACATATCTGCCAGACTAAACTGGTGCCACATCCAACAAAACTGTGACCTTAACATTCACTGTTGTGAGAATCTCATGTCTCACAAACTGGATAATCTATTGCCTTGTTGAAACTGAGTAGACTGTGTAGGATTGACAAAGTTCCCATAGTAGGAGACCTGCAGAAAAGCAATGCAACTGAGGAAGGGTGCATCACTCAGCAGAGCAACATAAATTTCAAATTTGCATGCCCATATGAGAAGGACCTATCAGTCACTGTCTTGTCAGTGCTTATGAAATGAAACCCCTAAATCAAACACTAAGGCAACACATAAAGCCTCTAATGTTAGTATAAGTGTTTTCATATCATGACAAAACACATGAAAGAATGACAACATTACATAAAATCTGTATTGCTGATGATGCTATGAAGTTATGGGAGCTGTTACCATGAAGTATAGTGAATTATAGGTTATTCATATATGTAGACTGCAAAATACACTCACAGTGAAATAAATAACTAACTCCATGGAGATAAGTGCCTCTTGAGAAGCCAACAGTTGCTCAAGCACTCCAGAGATTTCCAGCATTTTATGGAACCCCAAGATTTCCGTAAGACGCTGGAAATACACTCTTGCCTTACAGCTTGAAAAAAGAAGATTTTAAGAATTTGGCCTCCTAAGATGTGACACCTCATAGTTTGGTCCCCAGGTACCAATGTTTTGGAGGAATCTGCTGCCTCTACAAATGAATGTATAGAGGAGAAATGGAAAAGACCAAGGCCTATAGATGGGTCCTTACAAGGAGCCTGCCATGTATCCCCCTGACCTGGCTCAAGGTCGTTTCTTTATCCTGCTTCCCTATATCTGTACCATCTCCCTGCCTGGCTCATTCCTTCATCCTGAAGATTGAGGAAGCAAGTTCCTCTGGAAGTCTGGTAACTTTCTACCAAACTACAGTAAACTCTCGGCTCTCAGGCACTTATGGGGAACTGGGTGCAGGGGCTGAATGGGGGAAAAAATATAAAACCCTTACAGAAACCCAGTACAAAGTCAAGATATATTTTCACACCAGTTCTTGTGCTGGAGTCTTCCTATGTGATATACTGTATTGGAAGGTGAAAGATTTTAGCTGTAATGTAAAGTGATCACAAATTCAACCAGTCTCTACTGGCATCTGTGTGAGGGTGGGCAAGGGGCAGTGCTGCTTGTGATGGCTGGCAGAAGCACTGCATGATGGGTGAGGATATGCACATCACAAATTTGTAAATGAATTAACTTCATAAACTTGTTAATTTTCTTTTCTGAAATTTGTGCCAGGTGCATGATAATTACAGATGCTCATATACAAGATAAGCAGAAGTTTACTGTATATGGAGTAAATCCCAGAAGACGCTAGTCATCATGCTAATTGCTGTAAGAAATTCAAATCTCACAAGTTTAACTGTAAATAGACATTAAATAATGGGGTTATTTTCATGTAATAACAATAAACAAATTCATATTTCTTTATGATAATTTTAATTGTTTATTCAAATAAGAACTTTAGTTCATTTTAATTTTTAATAATTTGTGCAAACACACATACCCTGATATATCCAAGTGACATTGGGAGTGGGTGCTCCAGCAGCCCGGCAAGTAATGGTTGCATCCTTTCCATCCAGAACCGTTACATTTTGGGGTGGTGTCTCCATTACTGGAACAGCAGCTGTAAAAATACATTGCTTCATAACAAATACAACAATAAACATCTCTAAATTTGAACTATCACTGTAAAAGACCTTAGTAAGTAATTTCATAATATTACAAAATGAAATGAGAATGGTTCATACAATTACCAGCCGATCCTAAAAGCAGCTGTAGTTTTTTTTATTGCTAGTGGGGTGCGACTAAGTCCCTTGTACTGCAGTCACTTCTGGCCTAATGTACCAGCCCCAGCTGATAGGTGAGGGTGATCGTGGAGCAATTGGTGGAATGAAGATTGGCAGGGGAAACCGAAATACTAGAAGAAAACCCACCCCAGCGCCAGCTGTAGTTTATTTATAACTAACCAACCAACCAACCAACCAACCAACTAACTAACTTCACACAGCCTTCTTAAGAAGCTAACAGCTCTCAACCAGGTAAGAATTCCCACCATTTCATTCAACCTGAAGGTACATTACTGTGTATGCAATAGCCCACCACTGGTCCCTACTGTGAGGCAGATGAATCCAATCCACATCCTCCCATTCTATTTCTTCAAGATCTATCTTAGTATTATCCTCCCATCTATGCCTAGATCTTCCAAGTGATCTCTTTTCCTTATCTATACTTCATAACACGTTTAGCTACTGTATTTCAAATGTCAAAAATTTAAGATTGAGAAGTGCAGGAAAAGGCACAGAATGTTGGAACTGTCAAGAGAAAATGATACAGATTTATCGAAAATTAAGAAAATATGTCAGATTATAGACAATTTTTGTAACAGTATGCATGTTTCTTCCAGTAAGAACAGTCGAAAAGTAATATGGAAAATGCTGGAACCAAAATGTCAAAATTAAATGTAACACAGGGATAAATCAATTATTAACGAACTCTTTTCTTTTACCAAAATTAGTCCACAGATCACAATTCAAAGTCACTCACAACCACAGGGAATTCTCATGAGCTAAAACAGATGGTAACTGTGGAAACTGTACGTTTCCTAAATGGAACATAATAGAGAAAAATCGTTAACCCATTATAAAATATCATCATATTCAAGACAACACTGGCTGGTATGTTCAAAGAGCAGAACCACTCTCAGAGATGTTCTGTTATTTGTGTTTATATTGTGCTAGTGTTCCATTTTGCCATCAACAGATGGCAGTTTTATGTATTTCTGCCCTTTAAAAAGGCCTTCTTTGAGTTTATAATGGGTGTCCCTTTTGGAATTAAAAATCAATTATTTAAACAAATAATAATCAGAGTGGGGTCTGTGGTGCCAAAATTTAGGAAAATGTGGTACTACTGAATGGTGTCTCATACAGAAACAGTCTCACTGCTCTCATTTTTTCTGAGGTTAAAATTCCACATTTCTTACAAAGTTCATGCTTCAAAATGATACAGATACCTGAAATATTTTAAATTACTTTTCTATTATTTGTAACAAGTAGGTCAGCCGGAAGTCTGTTTTAATGATATGTCACAACAGAATTTTGCATATACTATCTTCTAAAGTACACTCATTATATTTCTGTATAAAAACTGTAAGATTCAGGTATAGCACCTCCCACAGAATGTGCTGTCCTTGAACATATATATATATATATATATATATAAGAAAACTGTTGTAGGTGTGTCATTTATGATTATCATTGTGCAATTTTGGGTTACAATGGCAATGAATTGTCAAGAGGTAACTTGCTGTATGAACATAAGTTATGCAGTAAGTCATGTATAAGCAAGCAGACTTTTCTTTCACTGGACCATACCTACTACTCTGTGTGCTGATACTGTTTTGATGTAGATATGTGAAGTGTAGCACATTATATAAAAGGAACTATTTAAGACTGATTATTTGTGCATGTCATTCATGGGTGATGGCACTAAATGTTGGCCAATAACATGTTGGACTGGAAAGAAATATGGGAGTAAACAGGTTAACAGTAGGAAAACTTCTATAACAAATGATGAGACTTCCTGCTGAATCCTTAACTAGTACATTACAAAAAGATGCAGTACCCACCATTGTTGCTAAGTTCCACAAATTCTGAAATACATTTGCAATCTACCTAGACTAGAACATTCTATCAAACCTACTGTGATTTTCATGCATGTAAAATAATAAAGAATATACTACAAGGCTGTATCCCATTCATCACTTTGTAATGATGTACTGCAAGAATAATCTGCCTTTTTTTCAACACTGACAAAGATTCATGACTCTGTTAACTTTTTGTACTGTCCATTGGTGAATCAAATGATTAGTGCTGTTTCCTGTATTATTTTAACCACAAACAAGGTTAAGAGGAAGAAATGAGTATACATACAGTGGCCACAAAAATAAAAATCCATGAAAGAGACCCTACACATCTTTGAGCTATTGTTCTGCCCCCTTTAGCAAACCTTAAATTTCCCTCTAGTCACCTTGCCCTTTTGGTTCACAATAATGTTGCTAGTAATAACCTTCACTATGAATAAGTACTTTGTTCTGGTTGACATGGGTCAGAGTGTGCTAGAAACATAAACAGCATTATGCTCAGAGTGGGAAGCATATGAATGTCATCCCCACCACCCACAGGGCTTCTTGCCATTGCCTCAGTATAGATATACATACAAACTTCAGTGATCTGAACATACATGGATCAAGGAGCCAGCACCTTGTGGTTTAATTACATCAATTCTGTCAGCTAAACTAACTGAATTAACAGCCATCAATTAATTTAAGTCCTGGTATGCGGTAGCGTAGTGGTTTAGGGGCTATGCTACAAGCCAGAAAGTTGCAGGTTCGAGTCCCGATGAGGTCATTGGGTTTTTTTCAGTTGACCTAATCCTTCCAGCTGCACTAGGCCCTGGGGTTTACTCAGGCTCTTAACAAAAATGAGTACCAGGAATTAATTAAATAATTTCCCTGGGGAGTAAAGCACGGCCGGCGCGTAAGGCTGACAACCTTACCACCATCTTTGAGCCAATTGTCTAGATAATGTGGGATCCTCAACGTCTCACAACCCTATGGGCCTTCACGGCCTGTTACAGGGATAGCTTTACTTTTACTTTTTTACTTTACCTGGTAATATATCATTCAGAACAGTTATTATTCAGCATATTAAAAAATTCAATGTGCAATGAATATTCAGAATGGAATACAGCCAACTATTTGTCACACTCAGTGCAAGTGGCTGATTCCAAGCTGACAACTCAACTATCACACAACATACATAGTCATACCTAAAGTTGGATCAGGGAAAGAATGAACATGGATTCTCCCACACCAGTTTACCTAGCAGCTACCTCCCCCCTCTGCATGCCTTCCATCACTTCTACTAACTGTCAACTGTTTCTTAACCTGGACCACTATGAATTTTCACTGACAAATCATGTAATTTCATTTTATTATTATTTCCACACTATATATATATATATATATATATACATCCTTTGACATGTTAAACTTACATTAGATTAGGTTAAGTTAAAACATGTTAGGTTTTCAGACATACATAAATGTCCTAGGCTGCACCATAGCTCAAGTGGTTAGTCACTGGCTTCCCACTGCGGCGGCCCGGGTTCGATCCCGGGTCTGGTCAAGTGGAATTTGTGGTAGACAAAGTGGTGCTGGGGAGGGTTTTCTCCAAGTACTTTGATTTCCCCTGCCAATCTTCATTCCACCAAATTCTCCATCATCATAATCACCTGGGCCAGGCTACAATAGGCCAATCAGTGGCCGCCATGCCGAGTGGACCCAGTCGGACTCCAGCCCCCATTAAGCAAATTTAAAAAAAAAAAAAAGTTTTACATAAATGTCCTCTAACAGGTTTGGTCAGATGAAGTTAATTTGACAATTTTCTATTTTAACATAAATATGGACATACTCATAATATATTAATAACATTTACTGTATTATTTATTATATTAAGTCAAGGACAATAACAATTACAGCAAGAAACAAGTACCCGTCTCCTAAAGCTGGTTTGTGGTCAGAAGGGAGGTGTGCAGTGCCAGTGTTCATGCTTTCCCTGCGTGTAGGTGCTACACTAAGGCTATTCAACCGTGCAGGGCAAACTTCACACCAACCAAGCTTAAGCAAACTGCTGTTTCAGTGTGGTAACCGTGAATACTAAGCTACCCAAACATGTTGAAAGAATATCAAGTCTTACTCCCGCTGTCATAGGCCCCAAATGTTCTAGAATGGAGATCTGATTGCCGCACACGGACAATTTTAGGTGTGGCTGTGCGTCTACCTCTCCTATGGCCCTCTGTTATGACCCAAGAGAAACATAAACGAGTTGTATAAATTTACATATTATGTGTAGATATACATATACCAAAGAAGTAAAACATGTAGAACAACATTCTGAAACATCCTGCTAATCAGCAGAGGGAGTCTAATTACAAATAAAATGTTGTATATCATATAATTAAAACAATACAAGAACAGAGAAATAGCTGTTAGGTACACATATTCTAGTAAATGAAATATTTTTCAGAAGTGATGGAATGTTTCTTTCAATATTATCAGTTTTAAATATTACAATGCATACAGCCACATACCCTCGTTTCCTTCCATCATCAGATACAACATTAATGTTATACAACATAAACTCTGTAATTTTAGTCCACAAGCGAACTATACCGACTGAGCAACCACCGCTTGTTGACGAAGTTTAGTGCCATCTTTTGTGGATAGAGGGTGTCACATGGTCAGCGCAACTGATCCCCACAACTGTTAATTTCGGTTTTCTAGACTGGAGCCGCTATTTCCTTGAACTAGCTCCTCAGTTATCATCACAAGGCTGAGTGGACACCATTCCAGACCCACTACTTGTCAGAAAAAATCTGGTAGCGCCGGGAATCGAACCCAGACCTCTGGATCTGTAGCCAGGAACGCTGGCCACTAGACCACAGAGGTGGTCTATTATACAACATTGCTTGTAAAAATATACAGTGTACTTGCCATTATCCGTGCATGGCTTGCTCAGATCGCAGCTTACCTATCCATAATGTGCATTAAGTTTGCTGAGTCTGTTCATTCATTTGTCTGCATGCAGGAAACAATTTGTGTATTCATGAAATTTGATGCAGGAAAATTTTAAAAAGAAATGTTGAACCATTTCAATTTTCATTCAGACTGAACAATTTTAACAGCCACTTTACAAGAAGACCCATGTGCATTTCTGTGTGAATTATGACCATAAATTACTAAATATTTATCAGAGAGGAATATGTTTCCAAAAGAAGTTGTAAATGAACACTTTCCCACCAGTCCTATGGTTTCTGAGATAATTTAACAAATCAGATGCTACGCTTACATTTACGAATAACCATACTCAACAATCACCATGCCCAAAACCTGGGTTATCCATTTTTTTTTTTTATTTGTGCATCTTTCCCACTTCATTAACATGGATAAATAGAAGTACAGCAAACCCTAGATAATCCAGTTACAGTTAATCTGGATTTCAGATAATCAGGATCAAAATATGAAAAAAGAAAAATTCTGTTCAGAATTTCAGTGTATACTATAAAAGCCACATGGGATCTAGAAGCAAGGGCAGTTGGAGAGACTCAGACCATGACAAAAATATCCAAGGTGGAACTGAGCTGAATGAATGAGACACTGGATTTCAGCTACTGACAGATAAAGAAACCGCTGCAGTGATATGTTTTAATTTATTTTCATCAACACTAGCTATATTATTATATATTTCCATTTATTTGTTTTCTAAGGTTTTTTATGGCTATATTTTGCTTCATTAATTGAGACTATCATTTAGTCTGGATATCGGATAATCCTGATCAATATATGAAAAATGGAAAATTCTGTTCACAGTTAAGTACATACTATAAAAGACACGTGGGATCTAGGAACAAGAGGGATTACAGCAAGAGACTGCGTTGAGGGCAGCTAGAGAGACTGAAACCATGCAAGAAAATATAAAAAATTGGCTTGAGCTGGATGAAGGAGACCCTGGATTTCAGGTTCTGACAAAGGAAGAAATTGCTGCAGTGATAATTTTCTTTATTTATTTCCATCAGCTTCCTAACCTTTTTCTTTTAGGGTTATATGGGCACTTCACTTGAACTAATACTCGATTTCATGAACTGATAAAACTGTGATTTAGTTCATTCGAAAGAGTTGTGTATTTGATCTCTTACTTTTAACTTTGAGCCAAGTGTAGTGAGAGTCTTCACCTGCCTCATTGGCAGCCAGGCACTGAAACATTCCGGAATCTTCCATTCTCAGTTTCTTTATCACCAGAGAACCATCTTCAATAACAGAGTATCTGCAGAAAACAAAGCTCATTTAGAAGGTGAAACCATCAGATAAAAGTATTGTATGCAGGAGGATACCACATTTTCTACAGGGTACCCAAAAAGTTAGGAATCCATGATGTACATTAGTATGGAACAAATAAAGACAACAAATTCAAACTGAAATTGCCTCATCAGCCTGGAAATCCTACGAACATTTGTGTCAACATAAACTTCTTCCTACAAATGTGTCTGAACATGCTTGGACAAGAATTAAAACAAGTAACATAAACAAGCAAGCTGACATTTCAGACATTCTGTACTTCTTTCTACATCTGAAACCCTGTCATATAAATTACCACCAAAATGGAGACACAAGTATTATAAAACATAAAGTTCACTGAAATATCAACATCAAGTATTGTGACATGATGTCTGAAACCTGGAACAGTTGAACAAGAAGAGACGGCTGTTATTAGGCAACACTGTGGTAAACATGTTTCTGCAGCAATAAACACAGAGTAATTGAGATTGCTGGGAGTGGTTCATTATACGCGGTCCATGCCAAGGCTATATATAACAAGGACTGAAACTGAAAGCTACAAGATAGTGAAATGTGATCATGAGTCTCACGGGACTTGGAACCAAGGGGCCAGCAGCAATTTAGTAAATCTGACCAAAGTGAGCGTCAGATGGCATTTGTAGTTGGTGGTTAGTCGAGTGCACAGAAGCAGAGAAATTCCCAATGTTAGAAGCTGCTACCTGATGACAACTAGTGAATATATAACAGACTGAGAAGACACTGTACTGTACTGTGTACTGTAGTGACTTGAGGAGTGTGTAGATTTGTGAGTGTTATCATTATTTGTAGTTACGAGTCAGAGGGGTTCAACAAAGTCGATAGTCAATCCAAACCCTTTGTATATTCACCAACAATATTTGATGAATAAGAACATGCCACTTCTAATTACACAGGAAGATTTCTGGAAGACTGACACAAAAAAAGGAAACCCCTAACCTAGCTTTCTCTTCAACTGGTATCAGAAAATCACAACGACCATTGCTTGTTTCACCACTAAACAACAGAGAAACATTTCTTTAAGCCACAACATTACTGACTGTAATCATTATGTTGCAGTGATCTAACCTTCAGACACAAAATAAACTGACTAACTTCATGAATTTCACTAATACTTATAATTTTAACATTACCACACACTCTCATTTCTTCTCATATATATTTTGCAGTCTTCCCTTGTATTAAGACACAGCTGCCTATTATTAGGAATGATCATAAAAGCAACAGATTAGCAGAATCTTCAAAATAAACAATTTCCATCTCCAGCTACAGTTTCCACTGAGCCCCTCTTATACATAAAATACAATTCTAATCACTATATATTCTACCAAAATAATGCCACTTTATTTTGTCATGCTGACTGAAGCATAGCTACCTCTCACTGCTATCCATCCCATAGCTAGTATTACTACAAAGAGTTCTGTACTCTAGGATATAATGCCATGTAGGTAAGGTACAGATGTCCCTGTGCGTAACTACTTAAGCAATCCGCCATGAAGACATTTGAGGTAGGTAATGTACAGGCACATGTTTTCCTGACCTCAGGACTAGTTGGAGGTGAGTGGTCAGCTTCATGCCCCGACCACTTTACACCTTGGGGAAGAGCCTCTGTACCCACTTGATAGGAGGCTGGGTGGGCCCCAGAACTGGTCTGGACAATATGGAGAAGTGAGAAGTGAGGGGAAACCAGGTGGGACTGAAATTAAACGGGACACATAAGCTACTGGTCTACGCCGATGATGTGAATCTACTGGATGATAATGTAGATACCATAAAGAAAAATACATAAACTTTAATTGATGCAAGTAAAGAGGTTGGTCTAGAAGTAAATACAGAGAAAATTAAGTATATGTTACTGTCTCGTCACCAAAATGCAGGGCAAAATCATGACATAAAGATAGGAAACAGATGTTTTGAAAATGTGGCACAGTTCAGATATTTGGGAACAACGATAACAGATCAAAACGTGATTCAGGAGGAAATTAAGAGGTGACTGAACTCGGGTAATGCTTGCTACCATTCAGTTCAGAGCCTTTTGTCCTCTCGTCTGCTGTCCAAAAACATAAAAATTAGAATATACAAAACTATAATTTTGCCTCTGGTTCTGTATGGGTGTGAAACTTGGTCTCTGACATTAAGGGAAGAATATAGACTGAGGGTGTTTGACAACAGGATGCTGAGGAGAATATTTGGAGCAAAGAGAGATGAAGTGACAGGAGGTTGGAGAAAATTGCATAATGAGGAGCTTCATAACTTGTACTCTTCTCCAAGTATAATTAGAATGATCAAGTCAAGGAGGATGAGGTGGGCAGGTCATGTAGCACAAATGGGGGAGATGAGGAATGCATATAGGATATTGGTGGGAAAGCCAGAAGCAAAGAGACCACAGGGAAGACCAAGGCATAGGAGGGTGGACAATATTAGAAAGGATCTTAGAGAGACAGGATGGGATGGTATGGATTGGGTTGACCTGGCTCAGGATAGGGACCAGTGGAGGGCTCTTCTGAACACGGGGATGAACCTTCGGGTTCCATAAAATGCTGGGAAGTTCTTGAGTAGCTGCAGAATTGGAGACTTCTCCAGAAGGGCTCGGCTCCATGAGTACGTAAGCAAGTACACAGCATTATACCTCAGAAGACAGAAGCAACTGTAACCATTGATGTGAGAACCTCATATGCTACATACTACTACTATAGTTTCTGTTGGAGGCAGAATCAGGACATCCAAGCAAATTGTAGGCTCTTATATAAGTTGGTAATTTATGATAATATGGGATGAAGAGGAAAGGTTTATATGAAGATATACATTACAGCATCTCTTTGATACAACTAAAGGAAACCATGATAACAGCCGACAACCTTAACCAACCTCCCGACTGACATTCAAGTCAGAAGAATGTGAACTACAACCATTTCGCCTCTTCAGCGCTTCTTCCAAAACATTTCTGCACTTCACTGTGTTCCTTCTAGTGGGTACCCAGTAACTTCTGGTATCACAGTAAAGCTTCCAAATGTAAATCATATCCTCACATGCAATCTTCTTCTTGACACATCAGAAAACTCTGATTTCCTAACATGAGCATCATTCCTTCTTAAAGTTTCGCCTATTAAATATTGAGCAATGAAATCAGCAGTTTTAATTTCTTATTAAAAACACATTCAGAGAGAAATTTTGGAAGTAATTTAAGAAGTCAGATGGACATTTCATGCCTTATATAAACTATCAGCGGAAGCTTTTGTACACTAGAGCTCAGCATTGTAGCCACAACAACACATAAGTTGTGAACAGTGATGTCCATGTGTAAAACAATTCTGCTGTGAAAATTGTAATGATATTTACCTGTTACCAGGAATAGTCTCGACCCTTTCTGTGTTACGGAACCACACAATGTTGGGGCTGGGAACACCCACAGGCTCACAAGGTAAGGTCACTATGGTCCCATACTCACCCAAAGTTTCAGGCCTTGTACTGCTTGCAAATGATGGTTTCTCTGAAATTGAATAAAATTTCTTTTCAATCTTAAGTTAAAGTTAAAATTCTGTCTCCACTTTCTCCATCAGTACTTCTCTCACAATGCATCTGAAAAGCTCTGGTCTCAGCTACCTTCAAATCTACTTCATAACCTTAATCTGCATTATCAAAATTGATATGTGAAGGGAACAGATTGCAGCATTTTACAGATATGAAAGCAGGGACATTCCTACATACAGTGTATAGCTGACATTCTTAACGTTACAGTGTATGACAGCGAAGCAGAAGTGCAATATCTGACAACATTGCAACCTTCCATAGTAGCCCACAAAATTATATGCTTGAACGTGACATAACAAAGTCACCCCCTTTACGACACAGCTCAATGTTTATGCCTCCTCTACTGTGCAAACAGACTAAATACTTTGTCACAACTGAAAATATAGAAGCACAAAATCAGTACGTTATGCCACACAAAACACACACACACATACATACACAGTATTTTCTCCTGAACTGAAAGGACTGAGATGTAGGTTTCAGAATGACAAGCTCAGAACAGCGATCTATGTTTTAAAGCCAGAAGGTAGGTACTAGAGTTCACATTCTCTTCCTGCAGTGAATAAAAATTTGAAATGAAGAGAAATGTTCTTAAAAAGCTCTGATGATGGTGTTCAGCACTCAGAATTACTGGGTTTTTGGACTTCATCCATCGTCCAGTATTCTAAAAACTAGAAGATGCGTTTCAGAAACTGCTCTGTTTACATGCTCAGGTGAGGGGGTCAGTTCTTCCTAAGGGACCCAATGGAGTCACGTGAGGACAGAAACATCCATTTTCCAAAATGTTGCGTTTACTAGTTTTTAGAATACTGGGCAATGGACAAAGTCTGAAAACCCAGTAATTCTAAGGGAAATATTTCATTAATTAAAATACCAAATTACCATAACAAATGTACTGTAAAAGCAAGTTGATATTAACACAGAAATGAAGAACAGAGTGATCAAAACATTTCACTGATCCTATTAAGTGCAGCAAGTTATTCAATCAGCTCTATGTCACACATCAGAGCAACACTGACACTCTCAAATTCATTTTTTGTGATTACTTTCACTCTTTATCAAAGTATGGATTAGATAGACTTGAAAAGATTCTGACGATGGTGTATACACTACTTCTTTTGGTTTATTTTGGACTTCACCCATCTTCTGGTATGTGAAAGACAAAAAACCACGTTTCGGAGACTGGATCTGTCTCCGTCTTCAGGTGGATAGGGAAGGATAAACCTACTCAGTTGGGCCCCTGGAGTGATTGAGACTAGCTCTTTCTAAGGGGCCCAACTGAGTAGGTTTATCCT